TCATGCTCATAGGTAACAGCTTCTGCCAAGAAGAGCATGAGTAACTTTATTCCCCCTCCCACCCCCACAGCACTTCCCGAAAGTAGACATTCAGATGATCTATAGACTTTTTGAAAGATTGTGCAACATCGCTTACTTACTATAAGAGATAAAAAGCACCCTGAGATACCCCCTCACCCCTGTGAGAATGGCCCACATAAAAGAAGGAAAAGGAATGGCATTAACAAATGCTGGCCAGGTTATGGTGAAAAAAGGAACTTGTGCTCTGTTAGTGGGAATGTAAGCTGGCAGAGCCCATCTGGAAAGCAGTATGGAGATTTCTCCAGAAAGTAAAAGGAAATTCCGTTTGACCCAGCAAAACTGTTATTAGAATTTATACAAGCAACAGGCAAAATCCAATACAGAAAGTTCCATAGACACCTATGTACAGAGCACCACTGTTGAGAACTGCCAAGTCATCGAAGCAATGCAAGTACCCTTCCACAGATGATGGAAAGAGAAAGTGTGGGGCACGCATTCGATAGCATTAAACAGCTGTGAGGAAAGATGAAATAGTGGCTCTTGGACTGGTCTGGAGGTGGCTTGACTTCAGTCAAATCAGTCAAGAAGTGAAGGACAGATTTTTGGGAGGCCCCACTCATCTGTAGAATATATGTAGTAAAAAAGAATTACACGCAAAGAACAGGAGACATAAAATTTTGCACTCAGAGGTAAGATGATAACGGTTGTCAGGGTGAACAGACAAAAAGATGAAGTTGATGGGGGAGGGGGCAGGTGGGATATGGGTGTGGGTGGTTTGGTAGAAGGAATAAAATGTAAAGAAGTACCTTTAGGAAGTCAGCAGTCTATCTGCTGTAATAGGAGTTAATGTTTTTTATTCTATTGTGTATGCTTTTCTGAATCACAGATAAATAGAACAAAAAAAAAAAATGGGTGGTAACCACACCCTTCAGTTTGGGTTATCTTTAAATACCATTGGTTACCTCTAAATACCATTCTCATTTAATTATATGCATCACTATTGACAAACAGAGAAGACACAACTCTCCACTTTCTCTGGAAACTAAGGCCTGAGTTCAAACATATTTATAACACTGGGGAAATCCATAAACAGGGCCACATCAAGAGCAGATGTTAGAAAACGCAACTAGAGTGAAAAGTAGATGGCTACCTTTCTTCCCGAGAAGCACAAATGTGTGCACGTAATCGCATCTTCTACAATAATACATCAGTTAAAGCCAAGTGTCACATTAAAAGAGAAATGGCATGCACGGACACCGTCTCACCCATTCCCAAGCTGCATACATAGGTCCCCTGAGCATGTGAATTTTTCAAACTGATTTCTTATTGAGCTCTTCTGTACTAAACCACAAACATCATAATAAAGTTCCCCTTTCCTTGACATTTCTTCCAAGTAATTTTTCAGTAGTGATTGAAAAAGTAACTAATATTTTAAAACTAACCTCCTGATAAGAAATAACAGGTTGGACAGGCACATATTTCAGCTTAAACACACACACACATACTCTCTCTCTCTCTCTCTCTCTCTCTCTCTCTCTCCAAAAGTTGGGATAGATGGAACATACCTCAATATAATAAAGACTACACATGACAAACACACAGATAAACTATAATTCAATGTTGAGGTGTGAAACCTTTCCCTCTGGGATCACGTACAATGCTAAGATGTTCACTTTCACCACTGCTACATACAAGTATAGTGTTAGAAGTCAAGTTTGAGCAATCAGTGAGGAGAGGTACGGAAGGAATCCTGCTCACTCAGCACATTATTTCTAAAACCTCTATTATGTACATAGCTCTTTGGTCTTACTACATGAAAATAGCTCTTCAAAAGAGTATTATGGACCATGGCCCAACTGGCAGACATCCAGAAAATAAGTGAGGGGCAATCCAGACCCTAAGCCAATTCTCCTATCTTTAATATTTATGTACTGTTTACCCCCCTCTACCAATCCATCCCTTGAAAACTTTGACCATGAAGTTCCTCCTGACAGCCCTCTACTTGTTATGCCTAAGGGAAACTCTCTGGCCTCCTGAGAAGCGGGTAAATCTTGAACGGCGGAGAGGGGGGTCCTCTGTACACACTGTACACACTCAACCTCATTGTCAAATTCGTCTCCTCTCATCAAGGGGGCCAGCGTCCTCAAGAGAAACAGCTAGCCCAGACACCCCTCTCCTTGTGCCGTCTTCCAGAAACAGCAGCACTAGTTCAGTGGCTAGTATTAGGGAAACCGCATGCCAAGACCTGTAGTTAGAGACTGCATATGTCCTGCTTCTAGCTGAAGCAATATGGGAGATGGACCTTCCTCTCTCTTCTCCCCAAAAGATTTTGGCAGGATATGGTCAGGGGGGATTTGATGGAGGCTTCATCAAGAGTAGAAAACTTGGGGTGGAGGCTTCACAAGGCCAGACACTGAAGGTGGGGGTTCAAGTGACGCACCTGGTCATTAAACCGGTTATAGAAATGAAAAATCCCTAGGCAGGGACTACTATGGGAAATGTCTGTAGGCACTGACCAGAGGTGGGGCCATGGAGACTGAGGGCCACTACAGAGAATCATGGGGTCCTGATCCTGACAAACTAACCCAGTCACGGCGCGGAGGAATGAACGTTTCCCTGAAGGAAGAACTCTCTATCAGAGCAGTTTCTACACTGGCAAAAGGCAGCTCCTGATCCTGCAGGCCTATGTCTATGCAAGCATTTCTTTTTAGAATTTTCACAAGCCTCTTTGCCTTCCTTTCCCCTTTCCCTCGTAAATCTGTCCTTTAAAAATGTAACTGTCACCTGCCTGTGTCTGTGCAAATGTCTTCCTCTCCTGGGTAAGCCAAAGGGGGAGTGCGGCGGAAACTTCTCAGGAAACCCAAGGGCCCCGTGGGCTGAGCTCAACATCTTATCAGAATCACCTCAAATAAGAGTTTACATGAACTGTGGTAGAGTCATACAAATTTTAAGCTGAGTAAAAGAAGAAACACAGAACATGTGCTGAATGATTCAATTAATAAGTAATCTAATCTCTCATGAGGCAAATCTCTGAGGGCAGAAGTTATGTCATTCGAGGGGAAGATGACTGCAAAGGGACGCAGGGTAATCACTAAGTTATATGCATATATTTGAGATCTGTGTTTCCTATCTCATGTAGGTCACACTTTGTATTTTTATAAAGTATCCCAAAGTGAAATTAGAGGTTGAACATGTTAATTAAAATATTAGAATCACATGTTCAATTAAGCAGAGGCTTAGAAATATTTATTTACATATGGGAAATGGGGATATGATAAAGCAACTTCTTACACCAGTGGGAAAAGTATTACCTAATTCGAAGGTTAATGAGTGAATATCTATCTTAATGAGCCAATGATGGGTAGTTACTACTAAAATATTATTCTTCCACTAAAATAATTTCTCAGTGAATAACAACTCGGTTTCACTTATTTTCTAATATTGACATCTAAGTACTTTGTATACATTTAGTCACGGAATCCAGTCTGGTCCTATATAACTTACTTAGTGTTCGCAGCATCGCAGTGATACAGTCTTGACCATCATTTCAATATCACTATTGTTGAGTAAAGGAATGACCAAGGTCAGGAGACAGCTGCAGGGAGATAAGGAAGGTGGGCCAAGGGAGATGGTGGGGCGGACATCTAAAGTGTCCTCCTGACAGATCAAGGCCAGTGAACAGCAGCTACGAAGAAACAAAAATGTGAAAGAAACCCCTAACAAACCCTGAGCCCAAAAGAGAGGACAACGGCTAATACAAATCCCCAGTGGATAAAAGCAGCCTCCTGTGTCCCACTGCCAGCAACTCACTGGCGTCCCCTCCTTGGCAAGCAGAGCTTTGCTTTGTTGCTTTTGCTTCAGATAAAGATTTGCTTTGCTTGAGCCTCATGTAGCTTTTGCTGTGCATGCTCGCCTGTTCCCCCGAACAGTGCTTTCAATGGGGCCATTGGCTCGAAGCCAAGAACTCATGGTGAAGTGTGCAGATTGTCCGTCTTCATTATTATTAGTGAAAGGGGAAGGAAGTGAGTCCCAGACAGCGAAGTAAATCACTCAAGGCCAAGTCTTGTAAGTGGCAGAGACGTAAAGCCCAGATTGCTTCCAGAGGACCTGTTCTTAGTTTAGTCCCTTCTCATCGCTAAATGCTTTTTGAAAGTTGGTACTTTATAAAATACAGCAACTATCCATTAGAAAAATGCAAGAATACTTGCTAGCAATTTTAGCAAAGAAATTCAGATGATACCAATACTTGCTAAGAGACACATGCACACAGTGCCTTTCCTGGATATATATGACATAGAAATGCATGTAAAGGCACACTAGCAAGTAGAAAACCCAACAGCAAACCCACAGATATCCATTCACCTGTCAAAACCGGTTTGTTTTAGAAACTGCGTGTGTTCCAGTCTGTTTTGGGTTTTTTTGGAGAATTTAAAGTGATTTATTTAGACGTTCTATATAAATCCAATATTTAATATATTCTTTAAACATTGTCTTTTATCATAATGTGTAAGAACAATTAATGGTGATTTTTTTATTTAAATATTTTATTTTATATAATTCTTACATCTTTTTTTCATCTTTGCACAATGCACGTATGCATTTTCATTTTGGTTATATTCCCCATATATCCCCATATATGCCCCATATTACCAAAATGAAAATGCATACGTTGTTCAAAGATGAAAAAAGATGTAAGAATTATATAAAATAAAATATTTAAATAAAAAATCACCATTAATTGTTCTTACACATTATGATAAAAGACAATGTTTAAAGACTATATTAAATATTGGATTTATATAGAACGTCTAAATAAATCACTTTAAATTTTCCCAAAAAAAAAACACCAGAATGGAACACACACAATTTCTAAAACAAACCGGATGTCACTGAAATTATATTAAGCATCAAAACCAGACATAAACATTTTGTACTTTCATGTATTTGAAGTTCAAGAAAAGGAAAATTTTGGGTTGAAGTCAGAGTAGAAGTTTTATTTCTAGGTGTTTGATAAGAGGTTTTAAACATATATACATAGGTATATAACCACACATATGGAATTATCAAATGCATATAAGACATCTCAGGATATGAAGTAATTAATGCAACTGTTGAGACGGCTATTGGAACCTACATTTCTTTTTTATTTGCCATAAATTTCGATCAAGCAACATTGTTTCTGGAACAAATTAGTCAGCAAAGTAAAGTCCTTTATCACCTTGAAGTTTCCTTCAAATGCATGGCATTTAGCTCTAGCATATACTAGTTTAATGTTTTCAGCTTTACTGTTTCAGTCATTGTTAATAAAAAAATATCCTATTTTTTAAAATACATGTACAAGAAAGTTGATTTTCACATGATATGTGTTTTGACCATTGAGCTATTTTTGTTATAAACAGGAGATGCTCTTGTTTGCCAGCCCCCAGTTTTCTACCTTAGCCTATATGCAAATTTTATAAGCTCTACCTTTAAGTTTTCACTGAGGTCTCTTCAGAGTTAACTAGATTGGGTGTCCTGTCTCCCATTCCTGAAACCCCATACTCTGAGTAGTTCAGACGGTCAACATTCTGTGTTTCCCCCATAAAAGTTAAGTGTAAGTGCAGTGGAAATAAGTACATTACCACTGTTGTGCTTTTTTTTTTACAAAAAGGCAAAACCGTGGCATCATTACAGAAATGAAAATGAACGGGAGTAAAATAGAAGTTCACTTTACCACTTTGGAGTTACGTTGGGTTGGACATAAACAGAGGTCAAAGCTGGGAAATTTCGTGTGGAGTGGAGGAATTGGGTTGCCAAACCGGTTTCTCCACAGGTGGGAGTAGGAACAGTAAACTCTAGTAAAGAAGATGCAATTAACATGCCCATTGGTTAATTGCCAGGTTTACAGAGACATGCAAGGCAGCTGAAAGATCAAAGGGAAGATTTCTTAGGGATTGCTTAGGGGCTGCAGAGTTTTCAGCTCAGTGCCACTGTTTTTCTACCTGCACAGTGTGCATACTTTCTTATCAAGTCAGTTCTCCCTTATGCTACCTCAACACCAGTTAGACACTTCAGAATGTCGTTATTGCTAAACACCCCAAGGACGTTTACACTCTGTTTCCGAAGTTAACTTAAAGCTGAAGTCATAGTAAAGTCGAGACGAATGAAGTCTTTGTTAGCTCAAGAACGTGAACATCGAAAATATGAGAAAAAGTGGGTTGTAAGTTATGCTAAAGAGGAATAGACAGGTAGGTCTGCATAGCCGGTGTCAGCCGATCCTCAGGCAAGTTTGTGCAGGGGCTGTGAAAAGGTTCCTGTTGCAGCTGTTAGTTGGCTGTGTTCATGCACTGCGAGTGCTTTAACTGGTGCCCCATTCGTGAGTGTGTGACAGTAGTACAGCCATCACTGTTTGCCAAAGCGTACGACTTCTCCTCCACTTGCACCTGGCTGCACCGCACGGCAGTGGAGTCTGTGGGCTGCGACCGGTCCCTTTGCCGCGCTTTCCCGCCTTTCAGACGAGGTCGATATTTATAGCCCGGGTATTTCTCTCGGTGCGCTGCCTGTAGTCTCTGTGCCTCCTCGAAGAATGGCCATTTTTCGGATTCCGTAAGCATTTTCCACTGGTATCCCAGACGCTTGCTGATCTCCGAATTTTGCATGTGGGGGTTCTCTAGAGCCACCTTGCGCCTTTGATCTCGAGACCAAACCATGAATGCATTCATGGGTCGTTTGACGCGCTCCTGACTGCTCTCTCTACCTTTTCCTCCAGTTTCGCACTGAAAATTGGAGACAGGATTGTCACTCCAAAGTAAGGAAGACGTTTTCCGGAAGGCCAGGATATTCTGTTCCTGCACCCCTGCACAGAAATCATCGCTGAGCATTGCAGAAGCATATGATGGCACCGTTCTAACCGACTGACAGACCCACCCACCCACCGACCAACCAACCATCCAACCAACCGAAACTCCAGGCAGCCAAAGGCAGAAACGTGAAAGTTCAGAAAATCATCTTAAGCTCGGATTTCCCTACCGTGCCTTTTGTAAGGAAATGAAAGGCTTTCTCCGCCCCTACCACCTCCTCTTTGGCTCTTTGCCAAAGCCCACCTGCTTACCCATTCTTAAAACAGAACTTCCTAGAAAAAACACCCAGCTGTGTTTGTGTTGGACTCTAATCCGCATAACTGAAGGCTCTACCCTCTCTTTATGAACACGGACTTTAATAAAATCATTACCCCTTTAAATCAAAGGCGAAGGTATAGTAAAGAGATACTAACGGGTTGCTTATCATCATGAATCCACGTGAATGTTACCTGAAACACAAATCTTACACACCTTTTATCGGCCTTTCATACGCGCGACTACACAGATACGCACGCAGACAGGCACGGTTGAACTCACCGTGATCCTCACTCTACTGTTTCTCCACTCCTCCTTTAAAAATAATTGAAAACGTTACTACTAATATTATTATCTATGCTAACGATGCTGAAAATATTAATGTACACTTTACAGTTATTTCAATGCCTCTGGAACAATTCAAATTAGATGTTAGAAGACAGCTGAGGTAACACTTCAAAGGGACTGAATTTTCTTTAGGAGGCTGGAGACAGGTCTTACCTTTAAGCGCCTCTCCTCCGTGTGCTTTCACATAACAAATATTTAAAAAATAGCTGTACAGATCTAAATTAAATTTCTAAGTTAGAGCGAACAACTTATCAGCTTTTATATTTTAGCTCAAACTTAGGGCAAAATGCAAAGGTCATGCTTTACCTAGTGAAGTAGGTGAATACCTTCTCCAAATACATGCAAGAGGAAACACTTGGAAACTGTCACAAAATACTTGGATGAAATAAAATAGGAGAACCCCTCTCCCAGACACGTTTGCAAAATTGTGACTGACAACGACAGTCCATTACAAGTAAAAATAGGGCCTCCCCTGGTGGCACAGCGGTTGAGCGCTGGGTTGCGAGGCTGCCCGCAGCCTCTGCTGCGCCGGTTCAAACCCTGGCCGCTGGCGACCGTCCCACATGGCGCGCAGACCTCTCCTGCCCCTTCTGCTCCCCGCTCTGGCTCTGGTGGATTCTCTCACCCTCCCGCGCTTCTGACTGTACCCAGTGCTTGTATAAAATAAATGAGCAAATAAATAAATCTTTTTTTAAAAAGTACAAAATAAATTCACTTCAAGGTTAAACACAAAGAATGATGTAAAATCTCTAGGCAAATAACATTTAAAAAACGTTCGCATTACATGCAAACAATCCATGTAATCAACTGTCATTTTTGCAATAGATGTTATTATGCATGAAATCACAAACTCAAAACACTACTGTAAATCTCACAACTTGTATCTTAGCCATCTAATAAAATTAGTATTCAAGATACAGATTAGGTGTGAGTATGGTATTTTACACAATTTAAAATATTATAACACAGAATCAAATGTTTAAACTATACTCTTACTGAAAAACAGACTTTGTAAAACTGGGCATCATGGGAAATATGAGAAAAGAATATACTATTTCAAAACCGGAATTAAAAAGGCAAAAAAAAAAAATAAAAATAAAAGTGTTATGTACTACAACATGGAAAAACATTATCCTGTGCGAAAGAAAAGTAGATACACAACGAGAGGGTACATACTGAAAAGATTCCATTTGTATGAAATACTCACAAGAGGCAGATTCATGGACACAGGATCCAGATTAGTGATTCTCTGGGACTGGTAACAGGGGAGGGAATACTGCTCAGGATTTCCTTCTGCAGTGATGTTTATTCCATCATTCCAAATATTCCGGAAGTAGAAGCAGCTGATTGTTGTATATTTTGGCAATTGTCCTCAAAGCTAGTGAATTGTATACTTTAAAAGGGTGAAAAATGGTGGATTCTATGTTTGGCGTATTTAGTCATACTGGGGGCAAAGGGCAAATACTACCCCAGGGACATCTGCAACTTCATATGAAGGCAGGAGGAGCCACGTAGGCAGCAATCAATGGAATCTAATGTAAAAGAAAAACAGAGGCTTCCTTTGTTTTGAATGTCTAGATCATGAGAATAGTGGCTGGCATATATCAGGCTTTTGAATTACTTCTCCAGTGCTTTTGTTGTGGTTTTGGAGTCAGTGGGTTTGGAGCGCAGGATCCTTGGGTTCACTCTGGGAAGGGTTCCCCAGAGCTCCCGTTGCAGCAGCAGGCGGCAGGTTTCTCCAGGGGCAGAGACCTTAGTGATATTTAAAGGGCAGGTTCATTAGGGAAAGGGACGGAAGAATAAAAGATACTTGCATAGACACCAGAGGGCAGGAAGCGCTGCTCCCAGAGGGACAGGTTTGCTGAGAGAGGCCTGCCTGGTCACAGATTATTAATCACATAGTGTTTGCACACCCCTGTGCTGTGTGTACCTGCAGATTCCTAGACTAGGCATTGGGAACTTCCCTTCTTTCCTAGCCCCCTCTCAAAACTATGTGACTAGTCACTATTCCTGCTGCACTTATGCCAGGTAGCCGTCCAAATTTACGAAAATGAACTTAATTGGTAGACAAATCAATTGATTGTGATTATTTAGTGTAACTGAGGTGAGGGTGTCAGCAGAACCGCCATGGCTCTTGGGCAGCAGAAGTTGCTTGGCTCTGCCCCCGTGTGAGCCAGGGGAAGGTAAGCCCTCAATTAGCCTGGGCCCCGAAGTTCAGGGTGCAACCTGTGAGCAAGCTTGCTGGGCTCCAACAGCACCCACTCCAGTACCACAGTGCTCCGGCTGTTCAGACAAGCTCTCTTAAGGCACCGGTTTGCTGAGATAGGCCTGCGTGGTCTCAGGCGGGCGACCTGGAGGAGAGCTGCCTCCACAGAGGGAGGTCAGTGAGGAGAAGGCCCGGCAGATGCAGGTCGCGGGCAGGCAGGAGGCTCCTGCCCTGCAGAGGGACAGAGTTGGTGACAGGAAGCACCTGCGCAGTCACAGGTGGACAGAGGGACTGCTGCCCTGAGCCAGAGCAGAGACTGCACTGATACAGTCCTCTTCTCCATGAGAGGGGTCACTCCTGGTGAGCCTTCAAATCACCAGTTGGTGATTTGGGGTAAGTATGCAGAATCTGAAAGGGACTGGAGATTCCACAACGGGCTCAATTTCCATATCTTGACCCTTGGGGCTGTGCTCTAGACACTCCCACAGCAGTCTGATCCCTGCGTGTAATCTGGGCACTGGCTTTGTAATCTGGGCACTGGCACCTGAGGACCTTGGTTTCCATAGCTGGGTCAATGGCTGTGTGTTAATCCCTCCTACCCCCACCTTCAGCTCTTGGCATTTTGTGAGCCAGGTATCTGGACTTGTGCATGCCCCCTTTCCAGTTTTTCTATTCTTGCCCTCCACCAACTCAGCTCTGCCCATCATCAATCAAGCAGGAGATGGGAACATAGAACCTCCCCTCACAGACTGAGAGTTACTGAGAAATAAGTATTGTCCGTTTTCAAAAGTCAAATAAGATGGAGACGGTGAACTTGATACCACTTTCAGGGAACCACCACCAAATGACTCAGGTGTGGACAATTTCTGTGCCTGCTGCAGCTGTGAAAGCCACCTAAACAATCCTCAGAAGCATGCAAATTACAAGCCAGGAGAAGCAACAAGATGGCGATTGATGGACGACCTGAGAGCTCAGGAAAAATTTTAGGTAAAGTGGTGATTCTAGATGTTTAACAAATTCTCATCGTTAATTTTGTAAGACTTTAGTTTTTATATGCGATTTGGGCGACTACCAAGATAAAGACAAAAGGGACAGATTCGAGGTGGTGTTATCAATTGCAGGTTAAGTTTTCTCTATGGCTGGAATTCCCAATTTGAACACAAGGGTGCAAAGGAGGTTGTTCTGTATCCATCAGGGATTTTCCAGGCTGGCAAATATCATAAAAGCATCAAACAGATTGATAATTACAAGAAAAATCATAGTTGTTAATACTTCATATACCCCCTCTATGTGTAGGGGGGCCCAGTATGATTGGGTAGCTTGTCCCTGTGATTTTAAGTGTCATCTTAATTCTTGAGCTAGGACCAGGGGGAGGACAGTGAACTCAGGCATTTATGGAGAAAAGAAAATTTATTTTTTGAGAAGAAATAATAAGCATATTTGCCTTCCTGGAAAAGACCTTTAGAGACAGAAGTTTAGGTATGACAATTAAAAAGCAAATTTGTCTTAGTTGACGTAGACCAGGCCAGTTATTTTTCTTCACTGGATGCCCTGAGCTGGTTTCTATTTAAACACTTTCAGACATAGAATAATGTTGGCTGGTACGGGTGCTGGGATCTGAGAGCAAGGTCGCTGGGTTCCCTCAGCGAAAATGTCCCCTTTCGGCAGCATGTGGCAAGTTTCCCCATGAGGTAGAGATGTTGAGTTCTATCCAAAAGGGCAGGTTTATTATAAACAAAGGAAAGATTAGGAAAGGACGCCTGCACGGACCTCAGCAGGCAGGAGGCAGGTTTGCTAAGAGAGGCCTGCACAGTCCCAGGTGGGCAGTCTTGGGAGGAGAGCTGCCTCTGCTACTTTGCAAGGGTGAAGGTTGGGGAAGAGAAAAACCTGCACTGTCCCAGGCAGGCAGGAGGGCGCCCTCTTGCCAGGGCAGAGACTGCACCGGTACAGTGTCCTTTTTGGGAAGGGTTCATTGCCTTGTGGAATTGTTACCTGTTGTTGGATAATTTATACTTCTAGGGTATGAGCAGGTAGATTTGAAGGAGGGGTGCTTCTCTAAAATGGCCCTCCATCTCCATAACACCACCTCTGGTCTGTGCCTTGGGGTACTTTTTTATGTCATCTGATATTTACTACAGCAGTTGACACCTAAGGATATCTCATTTCTATAACTAGTTCTATGATGATATTAATCCAATGTTAAGGATTAACATTTCTACCCCCACCTCCAGTTTCTGGAATTGAAGACTCCACCCCAAAATTTTCTACTCTTAGCCTCCATCACCAAACATGATACCATGAAAAAGCAGGTACGCTTATAAATTAGACCATTAGATTTTCAACTTGTTCTTTTTAACCAGTTGAAAATTGTAGATTGTGACCTCAAATTTTGTTTTGATTTGATATTAAAATTTAGGGGCCACCTTGGTGGCACAGGGCTTAAAGGCAGCGCTATCAAGCTATAGCCAGCCACTGCAGCATGTGGTGCAGCAGACCTCTCCTGCCCGGCCCACTGCTCCCCTCAGTGGTGTATTTCAGTAGATCTGCCTGTTCTGCTCCCCACTCTGTCTCTGGGGAATCCTCTCGCCCCACTTCCCCACACCTCTGATTTGTATGCATAAATGAATAAATGAGTAAATCGTTAAAAAAAAATTGATATAGGTGACAATTATAATTAATTCTAGTATAACAATCCTCCAGACGCCAGAAGCCAGCTCCGGCAAACTGTCGTGTCAGGGGTGCCTCTAAGGACAAGATGGTATGGACGAATCTGAGGGAGTGAGGGGAAAGGGCATGAGGAGACACAGACACTTGGTGAGGTGCAAGTATGTCCTGTCCAGGGTCTCAGCAGTACTTTATTTATACATTTCAAGGAAGCTGCGGGAGTACAAAAGCACGTGCTTTCACGTGAAAAACTAACAATTGTGGTATTTTTTCAAAGTCAAACTGGGGTCTCATGATCTCTTGCAAAGGTGACAATAGCTATTGAAACCAGCCTGGCATCCTTGGACTCCTTGTCGTGGCAATAACAATCATTCTTACATTGTTGTATAAATGCAGTTACCGCACAGAATGTCCCCCTAACAATCATTTATTTTCCACCACCCAGTAATTGTTCTGTTAATATTAAAACCAGCAAGCAGCAAAACTTACATGACTAAAAGCTGACTTCCTTTTAAATTCTAAGTTACTAATTGATCAAGCTTCATAAAATTTCCTAAACATGAAACTTTTCCTAAAACATAACTACCACTAAAACCAAAAACTTCTTACTCCTATACCTAATCTATCACATAATTCTATTTTAATAGAAAATAGTAAATCATCAAAAATCAAAAACCCAAAGAATCCCTGCGCCACATAAGCTGCACTGACATTTCTCTAACCCCAAACTACAAAGATCAAGCGACACTCTATTAATTACTTAAAACAATATTTTTACTTGTCACTCTTCTAGTTATTTTGTCAACTAACTACTATCTCTAACTTCAAATCAAAAAACGTTGTCCTTCTCCATATGCCCTTTGCCTTAAAAGACCACGAATCTTTATCAGAGACTTGGCCGGGAATTTTTACAGCTTTTACTTCCCAGAAGTTTTTCAGGTGTGACACATCACTTGTTTCCGTAAGACAAAAGGTTGAATCACTGCTTTCTGGCAGAAGATCACTGAACGCCAAAAAATGTACTGTTTGTATCACACAGGGCCACTGTTGTCAAATTAGTTATTTAGTATTTGGTCACACAGCATTTGCAGTTTTTCTTTCAAATGCCTAACAATTGCCGCATACAGAAAAATTGGCCATAAACAAACAAGAAGAATGTAGCAGGAGTCAGCTTTCGAGATTCCTGACTTTTCAGGAATCTGCCCCACGCCCGGAACTTTTCTCAGACAGCAAGAGTAGCATGGCCCTCGCCATCCAGAGGTAACAGGCATAGATCTCTTAATTTTCTTTTAACATTTTGGCCAAGTGTGCTAATTTTAAGAACTATTTATTTCACCAGTATATTGGTGAAGACACTGAGAACTTTAATTGATGTAAGTTTTAACTGCTTCTTCACTAAACTCCTTTAGGTAAAACGTACCTTAAATTTGAATTTTTAAGAATGACTCTGTGACTTTAAACAAGTTGTGCACAGAGAATCTAGCTTAGTTTCCTAA